CTCTCTCTCTCTCTCTCTCTCTCTCTCTCTCTCTCTCTCTCTCTCTCTCTCTCTCTCTCTCTCTCTCTCTCTCTCTCTCTCTCTCTCTCTCTCTCTCTCTCTCTCTCTCTCTCTCTCTCTCTCTCTCTCTCTCTCTCTCTCTCTCTCTCTCTCTCTCTCTCTCTCTCTCTCACACACACACCTATTCCTTTTATGGACACAATAATACTCTCTTTCTAGTCTTGGGCATTCTTCTTTGATGATAAATCTACTTCATATTTGTTTGCTTATAGGATTTCAGGGAAGTCGGCAGCTGGAAAATTGATTTTTTCACATTCTCAGGGAGAACCATATTTCTTTACTTTCGGGAAATCCGAGGTAAGCAATCCGTCACTTTGCACATTTTTTCTTACTTGTATATTTGGTATTGTTTGGTCTTCTGAAATGCTATTTTAAGTTGTCATGACAAAATATAACTAAAGCTTTTGAAAACATATTATTTTCGAAATTGTTAAAGATAAGAATATGCATTTCTATTATTATCTTCATTTTTTCCCTTTAATGATTAGATACCAAAAGGTCTTGAGATGGGAATCGGAACAATGTCAAGGGGAGAAAAGGCAGTAATTTATGTTACTAAGGAGTATTTAACCCAGTGCCCTCTGATACCTTCAGTTGAAGGTATTACTGAAATCCACTTTGAGGTGGAGCTGGTACACTTTGTTCAGGTAAAGTTGGCATTCTTCTCTTAACTCTTGTCATCATGTTTTTTTTTTTAATAATTAGGGTATGTCTTAAATCCTAGTCCCAAAATCAAAGGCCTATTTTCATTAGAGTTTGCATTCCGTGGTCTGGTATGGTATGTATAGGCAGTATTTGGAATTAGGTTAATGAGTTGATTTTAGGCTATCTAGAGATTTTTTATTGAAATACTTTCATTTTAAGTTCTTTGAGTTGACTCAGTTTGGAATTGCAGGTGCGCGATGTGCTTGGAGATGGACGTTTGATAAAACGTCGTGTGCGTGACGGAAGAGGTACTTTCCTGGATTGATAAATCCACTAATGCATAATTTTGTAATTCACATGCAAAGCTGCTACAAATTGCACCAAAATATTTCTATATCACCTGTATTTTCTTGTTCTTGAGAATTCAACTGCTCAGTAAGAATGATTGTGCTGTGTGCTTTCGGCATTTTTGCAAATAATTAGGTGAATTCCCAATGGATTGCCCTCTTCAAGACAGCCTGTTACATGTCCACTACAAGGGGATGCTTCTAAATGAAGAAAAGACTGTTTTCTACGATACAAGAGCAGACGATAATGGTCAGCCGCTGGAATTCAGATCAGGGGAAGGCCTTGTAAGTGCCATGTAATACCTAAAAATATTACGCATAAAAACTTTCGATATGTTTCGCTCTTTATTCGTATGTGTTGTTCATTTCCCTATTTATTTGTTTATTTATTATTGTTCTTTTGATTGTGCTGTTACTTATCTCGATGATTATACTTGTGATGTCAGGTGCCAGAAGGGTTTGAAATGTGCACCCGGCTGATGTTGCCTGGAGAGATAGCTCTAGTAACATGTCCCCCTGATTATGCTTATGACAAGTTTCCGAGGTTTTTGGCATAAAATTACTCATTTAAAAATGTTTCACATGTAGATCGTGCTAATGATTTGATAACTCGGCTGTTATTGCTATTCAATTTTTGCATATATTTACTTTACTTACCAATATTATTTTTGTTTTTCTGACAGACCAGCTAAAGTTCCTGAAGGTGTTTACATCCAATGGGAGATTGAGCTTCTTGACTATGAGAAGCAAAAGGTATGAAAATCAAATGTTGAAACCACTGTATCGAATGTTGAACTTCTGAAAAGAACCGACTTTCGGAAATATTTTTCTGTTTCTGAAGCAGGGGGATGGTATAATTTTTATTGAGACCAGTGGAAAATGAATTTCTCCCTGTTCTTCAGTTATTGCTGTTTAATATATTTAAAGAATTAATATGTTTGTATCGTTCTAGTCTAAATAGTAGACGGATCACTATTCCTTTGGCTAAAGCTTCAATCTGTATTCTCGTTTTGATTTTGGGCGAATTTGTAAGCACCCTATTCCCTATTACGTATCTTGTTGCAACTGCGGTCCTTGCTGCAGGATTGGACAGGCTTCAACTTTAGAGAAATTATGGATGATGTTGAGAAGATCAAAGGCACGGTATATGTTACATGAATATGCCATGTTAGATTAAATATTTATGTTTCTACTCCTGAACAGAACTTTAAATATTGGACTTAACGTAGTACTTGAGATAAATTTATTCTTTTCTCTCTTTCTTTCAGGGTAACAGGCTATTTAAAGAAGGCAAATACGAGCTTGCCAAAGCAAAATATGAACATGTATTTTTGCAATTTCTCTTAACCTCAACCGATGCACTATGTTATTATTTATAGCTTGGACGTATGTTCCAATTAATAAAAATTAACTTGTTTATTTTCTTGAAGGTGCTTCGGGAATTTAATCATGTTAATCCTCAGGATGACGACGAGGGAAAAGAATTTTCAGATACAAGAGTAAGTATTAGGAAAGACTCTCATTCAGACATGAGTAACTTATTAATTGTCTATTTAATATATTTTATTTCCGTGTGGTAATTGATGTTCTTGGTCGAAATGGTTGAAGAATTTGTTACACTTGAACATGGCTGCGTGCTGGCTGAAAATGGGTGAATTCAGGAAGTCAATTGAAGCTTGCAACAAGGTATCTTCAAAACTCTTCTATTATTAAATTTCGAACATTTTGGAAAATCTGTCGTATATTAGATTCATAAGAATTTTTGTAGGTATTGGAGGCAAATCCAGCTCATGCTAAAGCTCTTTACCGCCGTGGAATGGCATACATGGCCGGTGGAGATTTTGAGGAAGCTAGAGCAGATTTCAACAAGGTAAAAATATTTCATTTCAGTCGAGGCATTCATTTAATTACTTAAATACTCTTTTTCTGAATCGCTTATTCATCCTTCTAGATGATGACCAGTGATAAACAATCAGAGGCACCTGCAAAGGCTGCTCTTCTCAAACTTAAAAAGGAGGAGCAGGTTGGTCTAATAATAAGCCTTCTTACATTACATCTGAAATGACAAATATAACCCTCTATTTGATGACATCATTACAATAGGAAACCCACAGGCGGGCCCGCCAACAATTTAAGGGATTGTTTGACAAGAAACCTGGAGAGATTGCTGAGGCTGGGGAAGAGGATTTGGGAGAAGAGCTATCTGGTGAAAGCCATGATACTGGCGGTGATGGGGTGGTTTTAGATGAGGATAAAGAGCATCTTCTTGAGGGCACTGATCCACCGCGGTTGGGCATATGGTCCAGGCTGTGGCCTAGCGGCAGAAGACTTATTACAACACTTGGATTGGACAGATGTACCATACTATGATGATATTGGTACGAGAGACCGACTCTTTTGAAAGCAGTTCTTTCTTTTTCTCCGTTTCGTATTTTGTAGTAGAAAAAAAAATCGATATGTGAAATGCTTGTTATAACACTCGAAAGAGGGAGAATAATTTGATCAAGTTTGATTATATTATATATAAACGGTTTTTTTTTCGTCTGAAAGCATTTAAAACTACACGAGGACTAATGTTTGCAGGTCATGAAGATGTACACTAAGGTTTGTTTCTTAGTGTTTTTATATAGATCTTAGGACTATAAGAAAACAGTATAAATTGCTTCAAACAGAAATATAGCCACCGTTGTACAGTGTGGACTCTGCTTGCTCAATGTGATACTGGTAAAGCCCGGCAGCAAATTTTCCGGCGGCATGCCCTCCGACAGCCGCCAGTAAAAACACAAAATCGGTGGCGAGTATGGCTATGATCGCCAAGTAAGTCATGAACATCTTGAGCCCCCTCAAGGCGGCGGCACCACCGAGCGCCATCACCCTCCGATCATCACTCTGCCGGCTGATGGGGTAGTTTGAGCAGAACTCAGCTGTAAATGTGAGCAGAAATACGAGCAAGATAGAGAAATAGTATTCGGATAGAGTTTGGTATTCCGGCCACCCTGGTAATAGTTTCATCAAATATGAATTCCAAAAACTGCTAAATGAGGGGAATCCCATATTATCTTGTTTGAGTTTTATGTGTATTTGTTCTGAATTTTGATATATTTATACCATGTTTGAAAAAAGAAATTGGTTGATTATTTATTTATTTTTTTGGAATTAGTAAATTAGTTGAGGAATATATTAAAATGATTGCCTGGATTGCTCGAGGTCCAAAAAGTGACGAGCCTATAATTATTAATCTCTATCACTTTACTTTTGCGCTGCAATATGATAATGTTGTTGTGTCGTTGAAGCAACGTTATTGATCTTGAAATGATTGCGATTTGAATTTCTCAAGAAAACAAAAAAATTGTTTATTTCTATTTTATTTATATTATTGTTTCAACAAATAATATTAAGTTTCCAAAATTAAAATCAATTATAGTAAGCCCAAAATAGTTTTATCCCAAGGCTTTATCTACTTTTTTAGTGAGCCCCACTTCCGAAAATAACGTACCCAACCGCATGGCCCAAAACAGCGGCAATAAATACACCACCGTTATATGACATCACAGCCAGAATAACCATGTACCCGAACCCGGCCCGTATTGCATGGATTCCAGTCTGAAACGAGATGGTGGCGACCCGACTTGAATCCGGTTTGACTAGATTGAGGTTCGCGAGAAACTCGGCGATGATGGCCAATGCAAAGACGAGTATCAGAGCCAGCGCGTACATACCCGAATCACCATCGGGCCAGCCGGAGAACAAGAAGTGGGCTTCTTTGCCCCAGTAGAACGCCGTGTGGAGAGAATATGGGTGGTGGTGGTGGGTGGCGCCACCCAGTGGCGGTGGGGCGTAAACTGTGTTGTGTTTCAGATTCATGGTAGAAAAAAAATGTGAATTAATTAGTTGGTTTGATTTTGCAATGGTTTGAGTTCGATCGTAGGGTATCGATTTAAATAAGCCACATATGTAAGTGGTGCAATTGTCAAAAGATTTTGTTCTAACTTGTTAACTGAGAAAAGCAAATGTGATCATCAGTTTCTCTTTTTCAGCATGGAATATTATATTTACCTATTTTCTAGGTTGCAAGCAATCCCAAAGGAAACATGAAACATCAAAGTATGTAATAGATTCCCAAAGGAAGTGGAGAAAGTATTGGCACTTGTACATTTTCATACTACCCATTTTCAGCTTCTCGATTCGGCCCGTTTTCATCCATATTCAACTCGGGTCATTGTTGACCAACCCGTACCAAACCTCCATAAATTGGTCACGGGTCAGTACAGTCACACGCCCGAAGCTCAGATATATCATCGATTTGGATGGTTGAGAATCGAGCAAGTCCGTGCAAGATTGGTCTGTCTGCCCGGGTGTAATCACATCTCACATTCCCAGCCGTTGATAAATCATTAATCAACGCCATACAAAGTAAAAATTGTTTCCACAACAAACACATGGCACAATCGGCCGGGTGAAGTTGCTCTCGGCCGTTGATAAGAAAATTACCAACGGTTGATGTGAGTGAAACCAAAAGAATGTTATAAATACTTCTTTTAGGCTTTAGCTTTATTATCTTAATTCAAAATTATAATTTCAAAGCAACGTGTCACGGGGCGATCTTTTGCCTCGGTTGGTTAAAGATGGTCCATCAAGTGAGGCCAAGTTGAAGAGAGCCCAATTAGGACCAATAGTAGAGATTCTTAGAGGATTTTAGAAGATTTTTAGAATCCCTCGGTTAATGTAAAGATTATCAGATGATATATCTTTGTATATATTTCGTTAAACAAGTTAATTTTAGCCAATAGATCAAGATGATCACCACCCTCTATTGAGAAGGTGGAGTTATTCATTCATAATTATCCAAGAATCTATTCAATAAAAGTATTCTCAAACACGTGTTATTTCTTTGCATTTTCTAGCAATGATATTCGTAATTATCGAGTAATTTCTTAGCACTTTTGATAGCGAGTGTTATTTCGTAGCACTTTCGAAGTGCCGAATAGCAGGCCCGCTGCTTGTTCGCATGCCTGCTGCTTGTTCTATCATGCCGTCTTTTGTTTTATACTCGTTCAACTTTTAACTCGAATTTCGAGAGTTTGACTGAACTAAAAAAAGAGGCGCATGGGACCATAGTTGTCCACAAAAGGGGAAATGGAAGATGGTCGAAAACTGAAAGACTAAGATCGAGAAAAAGAGCCAACAAGATCGAGAGGCTCAAGACTCATATCATTAAAAATTTAAAGTGGCGGAACGGCCGATTCTGCAAGTTGTTTTTTTATATTTTCTGGTAGATCATTTATTTTTTATATTCATTCTTGTATTCTTACTTTTTCTAAGTGAAATGAAATGAATTCTTGGGTGTTTAGATATTCATTCTTATATTCTTGTGAAATGAAATGAATTCTTGAGTGTTTGTTTTTAAATACAGTCAAAAGACAACATTCGTTTTTTAGCTGGTATTAATTAATTTATATAATTTATTATTAATTGAAGATTTATCAAAATCTAATGTACAAAAAGAAAATGTAGACCATGTTAAATGTGCTACATCACGTGTAAGTTGCATCCCTATAAAGTGTAAGTTGCATCCCTATAAAATATGAACGGATTTCAGTTATAATTTTGTTTTAATCAGTATTAAAATAATAATATTATGTTCTTAGAGTGAGATTCTTCTATTAATTTAGCAAAATATTAAATTATCGAAATAATAATTTAATACATTTTTATCCAACTGGGTTAATTTACCGAGTACTAATTTATAGAGGTTATACTAGAGCCGAGCCGACTCGTGAGCTCGACGAGCCGGCTCGTAAAAAGCTCGAACTCGGACTCGAGGTTTTCGAGCTCGAGCTCGCGAGCTTGAGCTTTCTGACGAGCCGAGCTCGAGCCTGATTTTAGTTGTTCATCAGCTCGCGAGCCGGATTTATTATTATTAATTTTTTATTTTTTTATTATTTTTTATTTTTTATATGTTATTTTTATTTAAATAATGTATAATAATATAAAATATTATAGAAATAAATACAAATATTAAAAAAATATATAATCATAATTTAGTTTTTATTTTGTATTTTTTTTATATAATTTTAATAATAAAGTAATAATTAAAAAATATTTATAAATAAATAAATAAAAAAAAAAAAAATAGAGAGAGAGAGAGATTGGGCTCGAGCTCGAGCTCGAGCCAAAAAAAGAAGAACTCGACGAGCTCGAGCTCGAGCCAGCCAAAAGAGGCGAGCTCGGCTCGTTCACACCCCTAGGTTATACTCTAGTTTCTATTCAATAGCATTTGAACTTATTCTTTGATTAAGAAAACTGCAAAGTATTCCTTCAACTATTGAAGTTTGTAAGCATTTTTGGCGGAATGCAATAACCTAATGTATTCAAT